GTGTCCTCGATAATATTCTTATCTTCAGTAGGACTGTAGAGGAGCACACCGAGCACGTGAAAACTGTGTTAGGCCTCCTAAGATAGCACCGGTATAAGGTTAACTTGGAAAAAATTGAATTCTGTTGCACCAAGATCTTGTACTTGGGTCATGAGATTTCTGCGGATGGTCTAAGGCCGGATGATGCAAAATTGCCCAGCATACGTGAACGGCCCATACCTCAATCTGTGATTCAAGTGAGGTCATTCTTGGGGATGACGGGCTACTACCATCCCTTTGTGAAGAACTGTAGTTCTATAGCTTTCCCTCTAACTGACGTCATGCGCCTTGACACCCCAGGGGATTGGACCGAAAAGTGCAAGGCAGCCTTCAAGAGATTGAAGTATGCCCAAACGCACTACGAAGTCCTCAAACTTCTGGATCTTGAACTGCCCTTTGTTGTGACCACAAACGCCAAGCAATATGGCATAGGTGCTGTCCTTGCGCAGGAGGGGAAAAAGTTGAGGCCGATCGAGTACATGAGCACAAAGATGCCATCTCAAAAACTGGCTAAATCCATGTATGAGCGAGAGCTCTATGCCCTCTACAGAGCGCTGGTCCATTGGAGGCACTACCGCCGAGGCAGATTCTTTTATGTGAGATCTGACCATGAGACGCTGCGCTGAATTAAGACACAGCATGTGCTCTCCGATGCACTTAAGCAGTGGATTGAAGTCATAGATGTGTATGACTTCAAGCTTGACCCTTCGAAGGGAGAGTACAACAAAGTGGCTGATGCAGTATCACACAGGGCAGACTATCTGGGTGCGCTAGTGACTGAGTTTGGGATTGCAGACGATGTAACTCGGTCTATGGTGGAAGCCTATCGAGAGGATTCCATCATGTCAGAGATCATGCACAAAATTGAGGCTAAAGATAAGGCCACATGAGACGAGTTTGTGCTGGTCGATGGCTTGCTGTTCCTTGAGAAAGCCGGGAATAAACAGTTACGTATTCCGTCCAGAGAGTCTTTGCGTAGTTTATTTTTAGGAGAGTGCCACGACGCAACCGGACATTGCAGTTATGAACATACAGCAGCAAATTTAGTGCAGCGTTTTTGGTGGCCCACAATGATGGATGATGGGAAGAAATATGTAGAGACTTGCCACGTTTGTCAATGGGACAAGCCATGGATGCATGCACCGCTTGGGCTTTTTAAGCCCTTGCCTATCCCTGCTGGTCCTGGTCAGAGTGTGTGCATGGACTTCATGGATACTCTTGTGGCCAGTAAGAGCGGTAAACGTTACATCTTCGTCATTGTGGAAAGGTTTAGTAAATACGCCAGACTACAGCGAGAACTGACCACGTCATCAAGCTGTTCAAGCTGTTCATGGACAACTGGGTATGTGACTTCGGTCTCCCTAAGTCCATTGTTAGTGGAAACGCACGCACTTGCTTCGGCATTATATAACTAATTCGCATGGACAACTGGGTATGTGACTTCAGCGAACTGTGGAAACGCACAGTCCAACAGATGGGCGCCCAATTGCAAATGACATCAGGGAACCACCCTGAGTCTAACGGCCAGGCCGAGCAGATGAACCGGGTAGTGCAGCACTTGCTTCGGCATTATATAACTAATTCGCATGGAATTAGCACAGCCCGGAAATCAAATCCTTGGTGGAAATCATCAACTTTATAATGTGTTAATAACAGCTCACACTTTCTTAATGATCTGTGCGCCGCTGTGCTAGATGTTTGCAACCACACCACTGCAACAATGTGGTGAATACCTAGGACTTACCATAAATTAAATAAAATAAAGGTACCGATAGCTTGTCCGTAGGTAAATGTTCTCAAAGGCTAGGCCAAGTCAGGATGACTGGGATGAGAAGTTATCTCTCATCGCCAGTACAATAACGCGGTGCATAGCACTATTGGCATGACTCCCAACCAACTACATCTTGATTGGAAGCCCAGATGCAGTGAATTGCGGTGGCATGCGGGCTGTACACTAACTTCGTTTGATGCTGCCTGGTTTTGAGCTCTCTGGGATTCGATCCCATGACCTGTTTTGTTTGCTGTTTTTTTTTTTTTTTTTTTTTTTCGTGTGAGAGCCCAACTGGGCTTGATCCCTAGGTCTGTTTGGAGTAGTCTCTGTAGACTAGCTGTAATACCACTAGGTCTCTCTGTTTTGTCCTTTCTGCCCTTGAGTTGTAGGTCGTTTCTGTCCTCCCCTTTTGCCAATTTTAGGTCTAGATTCGGTCCCAGGCTATAGGCTGTCGTTCCTAGGCTGTAGGCTGTCGAGTCAGGGAAAACAGCAGTTTGGGTGCTGCGTTATTTCACTTGCGGCATCATCTTCATGCTGCTAGGGCTGTCCTCCATAGCTGGGGCTTCCTGGCTCGTGTTGTGACTGCGTTGGGCATCAGGCCCTGAGCACTGTGAGGCGCCTCCTCTTACCTGTGCTGTTGGGGATAGGCAGGGTCGGTATCGAAACTCTTCTTGCAAGTATTTGTCGAAGTGGCAGCCATCTCCTTCTTCCTCAAGCGCTGGTGATCTTCTTCTTCGTCCTGGGAGCGACCCTGCCCTGTTGAGTGGACACTTCATCTGCAGTGGGCATCGAGTTTGGACTGCTGAGTGGCGTGTCGGGTTCAGGAGGGTTGGTGGCGCTTGATGGGCTTGATAGGTTGGGCGCAGGCCTGCACCATAGCTGTGAGCTTGAGATTGGGAGAAAGAAGAAGTTAATAACTCTCTTCTTAGTTGGTTCGTGGATGTTAATAACGTGGTTCGGACTCTGAGAAATAACAGTGCATTGATTGGCTGGAGTGAGCGGATAGTAATGAGAATTGACTAATTTCAATTCTATTTTTGGTTTAAGTGCTTCCACTGTGTATTCTCGCATCCAGTGTGGTGTGAATTGCTATCTCCAAGATCTCTTGTCGTTGCGCATGTGTATGGGAACATGTGGATGCCACACTGTATCTCGTTTCAGTCAGGCACATGACACAGATCTGCTCTTGACTTCCTGCTGCCCGAAAATCAGCCAACTGCAGCACCAGGCAGCATAGAGTTTGCTGTCAAGTACGAACACATGCTGCAGCAGGCTGTTGAGCACATCAAGAAAGCTCAAGAGGCCATGGTTGCATCTGAGAACAGACACAGACGGCCATCAACATTTCATGTAGGTGAACAAGTCTGGCTATAGTCATCTGGGTTGGGACAGGAGTTGGGAATCTCTTGTAAACTGATGCCACAGTACTTCGGACCTGGGAAGTTTTAGGTATAGTAGGATATCAACAAGATGGTCCATCATATGTCATTTGCATCCCTGGTCACCTTCGTACACACCCTGTTTTCCACGCATCCAAGTTGTCTCCTTTCACTGAAAGTGATCAGTCAAGGAGATCAATGCTGCCCCCAACCATGGACGGACATGTGGACATTGACGACATCGTTGAGCACAAGCTGATGCCTGCGCCCAAGCCTCCAGGCAGGGGAAGCCCTCCGAAACTGCAGATGCAGTATCGAGTGCGGTTCAGATATCATACAGATCCTAAAGAAGATCGCTGGTTCACAAGAGAAGAGTTAATGAAGACTGCTCCACATATTATCTCAAATTATGAAAGAAATTTAAAAGGGAAGCAGCCTGCTGTATAAGGACTTCTCAGAGGACTATCGAAGTAAAGGAGGAGGGAGTGCAAGAATTTTAGCCTTGGCATACCGGCATAAGGCGCCTGCAGCAGGTGCGTGGCCGCCCTAAGTGAAGGCGCCCCCCTTGAATCTCAATGTGGTCTGAATTCGTCAATACTTGCAAATCTTGGTGGGCGCCAGACAGTTGTCACGCGCCAATTGGTTACGTCCGCCTCGCTTGTGAGAATCTGAAATCTTCGTGAGCCTTCCAGGTTCTTCCAGCAACGTGGTGCAAACAGGGAATACCTCACATTTGTGCCTAGTTGGTCGGGCTAGCCTAACCAATTCGGTCCCAGGCCACTGTCTGAACGGGCCTGGGCACAGACACTTTGGTGGAGACTGAAGCTACTGGAAACTCGGTTTCACGGGCCAAGCGGTAGGCAATGAGCCCCACCACTTTCCATATAGGAAAGGGCCAGGCTACGAGGCAGGAGGCGGCATTTGCGTAGGCTAGTGGCAGCGCTGCTGGAGCGGGAGCTCGTGGGCTTTCTGCTTAGTGCTAGGGGCAACTGAGCGCGCGTGTGCGGTCGTGCATGAAGCAGGGCACTGCTGAGGGCAGCGCCATAGCCAGACCTACATAGCCAGGGCTTGGCTTGCGTAGCCAGTGGAGGTGGTGGTGGTCTTCGTGTATGAGGAGGAAGACGTGGGTAGAGAAGACGAGAGAGAGAGAGAGAGAGAGAGAGAGAGAGAGAGAGAGAGAGAGAGAGAGAGAGAGAGAGAGAGAGAGANAGAGAGAGAGAGAGAGAGAGAGAGAGAGAGAGAGAGAGAGAGAGAGAGAGAGAGAGAGAGAGAGAGAGACGAGGATGATGATGTGAGGGCACGTATCTGGTCTTGGCTATGGTCTACAGGATCGACATCTTCATGTACTTCGGTTCTTGCTGCTGACATCAACAGGTTGCATTGTCAATTCGTAGGCTGAGTTGTAGCTGTGTGATCGGAGTCTGGGCGCCGAGCGCCACGTAGGAGGAAGGGCGCTGAATACATACGTTGGTGGTGGCGAGAGTATGCTCTCATTGACATTTGGATTCGGTGCTTTGGTTCTCCTTTGGTGGAATATCAGTGCATATCTGCTTTCTGGTTTTCGATGGGATTTTGCATTCTGGAATTCTGTCATTTTGCTATCGCTCATTTTCCTTGCATAGTGATAGTGATTATGATAAATGGCCGTAGGGAGATAATGTAATGATGCTAGTGAAGATGACGATGATTATGACGTCTGTGATGATAACAAAGAATGAGAACAGAAAAACATGATGGTGAAGAAGTAGTAAAGTATAAGGAATGTTAAGGATGCTTGCGGTGGCTGGTTGGTGTCGTGTCCATCCATGCAGGCATGGTCAGCAACACTTTTGCCATGAGGGAAGCCCTTGCAATGGCGGCAGAGGAGGTAGGGGAAACAGACTTTACACGCTCTCGGACACTGCTTTTCCTCCCTTTTTTTTCGTTTTGAATTTCACGGGTGTAGCCCCAATATTCTTTGTCATGAGTTGCATGTGTGTAGTTTCCAGCCACAGGCAGATATCAGCTCTTTTGCACCCTAGTTTCTGTTGTTGTCACTTTCCTTTTCCCAACCCATATCTCCACCACCCTATGCCAGTCACCTCATCTTGAATTTGCTCCCCTCCCTTTTACTCCTGTTGCTAGCCGGTCTGGGCCCCAATCTCGGATTGTGTAGTATTCTTCTGGTGTTGACTACCTGCTCAGTGTTCCTTTTCTTCCCATTTCTTCTTTAAATGAGGATAGTGCTGAGGCATGCGTCGGCGGAGGGGCATGGCTGGAGGAAGATGAGATCTACCTTCTTCTTTTTCCAGTGCTCACAAATTTTCCTGTTCAGAATCCTTTGATTTCTGCTGCTCCTGTAATTGCTCCTGGATTAGCTAGCAGTATGTTTATCTTCCATTGGACGCAGAGTAGGTCAGGGTACTGTTGTCGGACAATATTTGCTGACGATGTGTGGGTCTGCTATGTACTTGGGGTGATTGAGGTCTGGTACATACAGCAAAGCCTGCTGTATGAAAGAGAGCCCCCGAGCGCGGCACACACACACACACACACACACACACACACACACACACAACACACAACATAAACATAACACACACACACACACACACACACACACACACACACACACACACACACACAC